GTCAAAACACATTGATCACAATATTTTCTGATTTTTTACTGTTTTACAAAAAAAAAGTTGAATCTATAACAATAACAATACTTCGTCAATGCAATTAATGACTTTCGTCACGTTACATCTTTACAACATATTTTACTTGTAGCTTTTTCAAATAAAAACAAATAAATAAAGAAATCTCTTCTTTCAATGCAGTGTAGTGAAAATAAAATATTAAGATACATGGAAAACAACTACGAAAACAAAACAAGTATGATAGCTTTAATATATGAATTACAAAAAAAATGTTATACGTGAGAATTAAGTGATCGAACTTACATGTCGGTGAAAAGTACATTAAGGCTTACGGTGTAAAAATAAGTCTAAATAATTGTAGTTATGGATTTTCGCTCCTGTTAAAATTAAGACAACAACTGTAAAGAATGGTCCAATTCACTTAATACACCCATTTGCCGTTCTTGTTTCTGTATTCTGGAGTGATCTGTAGTATTGCTAATTAGAAGATGCATATTTTTCAAACAATTTTATAGAGCACCTAGCAGTACATGTTTTTACAAGTGTCTCTTTTCAAGTTCCGTTCTAAGTTGATTGTATACATATTTATATTCATCAAGAACATCATTTATCTCAAGATTAATCCTGTTTCGAAATTCTCTGAACTCATTTGTAATGTTTTCTAAATTATCATGCTCCTGGGTTTGGACAGTGTTTTTTTCAAAAAAATCATCGAATGCTTTGTTAACTAAATATTCTTCATCGTTAACATAGTCCATGTAGACAGTCAAATTATAAATCGCTTGATCCCATTGATGTGGGTGGGAATTCTCCAATAGAATCTGCTTCGTAGAACTTATGCGATCCCTCCAATTAGTACATTGTAAATGAAAGCCTTCTTTCATTTCCGCAAAAGAGTTCAATATTGAGGTCATTTGCCCTTTTTCCTGTTATAAAAAATAAGTTATCCGAACTTTGAGTTTGAGGTACAAAAAAAAGGGTAAATTTTTATAATCATTTAATCGTTATTTAGTGATAGATACATAAGAACCATGTGTATTACCTCGTTTGTAAAATTTCCTTTTGACGAATCATGGATAAAGTCAGAACAAACCCAACTACAACACAAAAGGATGATAAACGCTTTGGTGTACATATGCATGACAGCTACGGTACGTTTTACGGGAGTAACTTGGTGAGACTATGTACTACGTGTAGATCACACTATTATGCCGTCACTACTAAACTACTCCAAAAAGTCTCAACTTCACTGGAAAAAAGTTAGGTGTGCCTCTAATCACCTGATATACGGTACGAACGTCCCCCCGAGCGTCCGCCACTCCTTCGGGCGGTCTTCTTGAAGGCAGCTAGCTTTCCCGTCACGGGTAAAAATGTAATAACTTCAGCAGTTTTAGAAATACTATTGTGTTGAAATTGTTTTAAATCAATTTCCTTATTTCAGTGAATCCATATTGTGTATAACTCATGGTCTCCTGTGGAACAGGACTTTTTCATGACGTGTTAAGGACGTTCATTCCATATGACGAGGGGCACTTTACAGAGGCAGAAAATTTGCCAGCTTTGTTGCATTTCCAGTTCGCGCCAAGTAATTTTTATGTGTACGTGACACATACACTGAAAACCATTCGTATGAAGTTTTGTATGATAATGTTTTCTTTGGTTGTAACTTTAATAAGGATTAAGAAAATCCAATAGATAGTTGTAAGCGAGAAAAAATGTGCAAATCAGAAGTCTAATGGACGGTCTAAATGGAAGTGAATATACACACGTGCATACTTCGATCGTAAAACCATGAGATCCCTTGTGTGTCTTATTTGTGTCCATAAAAATCATGTTTGCTTATTTATGTTCTTCGAACGTTTAAGACGCATTATTTAAATAATTCCGCACCTGGAAATACTCAAAACGAATGAGAGTCTACGATTCTGTCAGTAACAAACTGATTAGTCGTACCAAACGTTTTTTTATATAAATGACCTGATTGACGATAAAATTCTCTGAGTTTATTACCAACCTAATACTTTTAGTAGTTTTTCAAAATATGTTGCAATAACTAATTTCTAAAGAATTTTTACAAAAATATTTTCAGTTATCAGTATTGACAATGGTTAAAAACAAGGTTAAAAACGTTAATAGGCCAACAGTAAAATCTACATTGTGTGTCTTATCTTTGGCGATGAAGTAGTTTAATACAAATATATTCAACATATGTAAGGAAATTTATTTTATATCTTTATCATAGCTTTGGAATTATTATTTTTCTAGTAAGTCTTTATTTTTGATTAAAGAAAAAAATAAATTAAGGTAACAACAATACTTTGCCTTTGTATTATCTAGTTTTTATATCATTTATCTAGTTTTACAATGAAAGTTAAAGTGTATTCGGCAAGGTATTAGGTCAAATTTTTTTATTGTTCAACAGTCTATCATAAGGAGCCACGTGACACATACATTTTTCAGTGATTCGGTATAAAAAATTGCCTAGTGACATGGTTTGAATTGCTGATAGGTGATTTATTTCTCGTTCAAGTACAATGGAATTTTTTTTGAGGTGTTTAAAGTTCATGTTGAATCACCTTGAGAAATTTATTTGTTGCTTTAAAAGCTCTTTTGAGCTATTAAATTGCTTCATTGAAACGATTACCAAACTTTATTGGAAAATAAAAATATAGTTTCAGAAGACTACCTTAAAGTGAGCTATTACAGAAATTCGATGGAAGCTCAGTACCATCGTAGTATAAACTATTAGTATACAATTTCACAGTATATTTCTAATAAACAGTACTCTTTCCAACGAAGTTGGTACTCAAATTAAATTAGTTACACCATATACAATAGTGCTCTTTACTTCTAAGCTCTCCCTTCTCACCGAGAGGAAAATGGAATGACACTACTTCCCTGTCCCTCACTCTTCCTTTATGTTTTTGATAAAGCGCATAAAGCTCAATTTCCGCTGGTGAGACGTGAAAGGAGGAAAACAGAGTTTCTTTTGAAGATAGAAGGGCCAAAAGGAGAGACGAGAGCAACCTGACAAAGAAAATGGGTGGAGGGAAAATTGTTGGAGAGGAATAGAGCTAGCTTCGTGAAAAACAAGATTGGGTAGAGGGAAGTTGCCGCTAGAACGGGAATAAGATTGCCGTTGTTGTGAATAAGCCTGAAGTTCCCTACGCTCGTGAGATGTCACGCTAACCTCGTTAAACGTGGTTTGCAGGGTAGGTTTCATTAATTAATTTGTTTTGAGGGTGTGTTACACTGCAGTGGATTTTCATAGTACCGTGACAGGATTCAAGAAGATCCTTGGGCTTACATTGATTATCATCTCTTTGTGATGTGGAGGAGAAGGAGGAGGAAAACGTACGTAGACAATAGACCCTGACTTTTAAAATCCCTTATCTACTTGAAAAGTCCTTTAGTCTATTTCACTGGCAGATCAACACGGAAAGTAACTGAATAACTTTGTTGAATTTCAAAAGTCATTCAATGACTTTGAAATACTTTTGAAATCATGTAATGATTTTAAATGGCTTGTTAAGTAATTTTCAGTAATTACGGAAACCATTCGATGACTTTTGATAACTTTAAAAGTCATTCAATGACATTCGGTGATTTTCAAGCTTTTTACTGACATCAAGCGACTTTTGATGACTTTTGGATTCAAGTGCTTCAAGCTCTCGCGCTTAGGGCGCCAAAGTCATGTAAAGTTGTTTCATTATGTCAAAAGATTTTTAATTAATTAAAAGTTGTCAAGCCAATTCTAAATATATTTCAAAGTTATTTAGGGGTGTTGTAAGATAAGCAAGGTACACTGTTGAGAAAATAGTAAGAAAAGAAAACGATGTCACCAAGTGCAACGGAAGAACTTTCTGATGGGCTTGATTTCTGTGTACGACCGCTGGCAACAGTTCTCGAGCAAGGACAGTTTGTAAGTTATGCTTCGAGCTCTGCTTACTCCAGTTTCCTTAGCTTTAACATTTATACAAAGCTACGCGAAGAGAAACAGCATAAAATGATATTAGTTGCACAGCCGACCCACATCTACGATTACCCTCTCCTCGAGAATCTAAGGTGTTGGTGTATCCGAAAGAAAGAGAAAATCTAGAGAGGGTGAGAGGAGGGAGTCCCCATAGAGAGATGGGGAATGAGGAGGTGCGAAAGGTCAGGAAGAAGAAAGGTCTGAGCCACTGTTGCTCTCATTGCTGCCGTGTCGTTGGATTAGGACTGAAATTGTTATTACTACTGTTGTTGCTACTGTCCTCTGTATCCAGCTCCTGCCTCCTTTGGTTAGCTCACTCTCTGGTGCGTCCCGTCGTTTTCTCTTACTTGTTAACTCCGAATCTCCTTTATCCCTTACCTTGAGCTAGTCTCCTCCAACGTTGTATATTCTGCTTCTCTTTTACTCGTTGTTCGATTTAACTACTATGCATTTTTCACTGTATCTATGTCGGTGTATTTGCGATGATTGGACAGAGGGTTGGACGTTATCCAATAAAATAAAGAAAATTATATCTTTAAAACGATAGTAACTTTTTCCATTCCAATATCAGTTTAAAAACATGTTATGTTTAACAACAATAAAGATGATTAAAGGTATTGGAATATTTGTAAATAAAGTAAGTGATCGGTGATTGAAAGTTGATAGTCAGATGGACGAATTAATGGAGAATTTCAAAAAAGCATATTACAAGAAATATCAATAACTGACTAATAGGGTTATGGTAAGAAAACTAATTATTGAGAAAAGACCGTTCGATGGATTCAAGACAAGTGCGGGAAAACAGTAAAGGTACTGATAAAGGGGTGAGTATGGAATAACTGGATTTTCAGCCAATAATATGAAGGAATGGCTGTACATTTGATTATGAATTTTCCAATTGAAAATGACGAATGATTTTAATAATCATAAATATGATACATATAAAATAAAAAATACTTTCACATTATAAACATTTGTTACAAATCTTTAACAACCAACGAATCGAGACGTACAGCTACCAAATCGCTTTTTTCTGATAGTATTTGTCACACACAGTTCCTTTGACAAGATCTTGAATAGGAGCTGTCATAACCCGGTAGTTCGTTTCGTTTGGATTCATACTTGTCGTGAGATAATTTTGAAATCTGTTCGACAGCATAAGTAAGTACTCGTTTATCGGATAGCTTTGCTTTTTGACTTTCATACCACTTACAAACTGTAACCTCTCGGTATCCCTTAATGGTATAGCCTAAATAAAATATGTTCATTATTCAGTAAATAAACGTAAATAAGTAAAGAAAAAACATGAAATGTAAGATTGTTACCAAATTTTCAGATGTTATGGGTCTTACAGGATTCCAGCAACCAATCGCAACTTCTTTGGTGAGACTGTAAAACAGCGTGCCATCGGAAGAAATGACCATGGTAACAGACTGGCTCGGTAGAATGTCAATAGCTGCGACGTAATTCACGGAAGAACCCTTCAAACTTCGTTTTAAGTCTGTTGTACTAGCGGCATATATACACGTGGAAGCCAGCGGTCGGAAATACAAAATACGATTTTCTGCTTTGTTCCATGTTTTTGGCGACAAAGCCATTCCTAAAATACCGTCTTCTAATTCGAATTCGGTACCGGTTATATTCATTTTAGCGTATTTTGCATCAGGTGAAAAAACTCTATCGTTCAGACGAACTACTTTATGGTTGTTCCAAACTAGCAAACCGTGTCCTTCGACGTCTGCCATGTATATCTAAAATGGACACGATTTTCATGATTTTATAATTACGCCAATAAATATTTAACTTTTCCATTACTTTATATTACCGTTATATCCTCACAATTTGGACCTTCAGTTTCCACGATTGGATTCACTAACAACCCTTCTCCTTTTTTATTTTGAGCAACTTCATTACTTAATTCTTCCCAAAAGACCAATTTGTCATTCTTTAAATCAAATGCCAGTAATTTAGGCTGGCAAACTTTTTTTGTGTTTATTGATCCTGTATCGAGTACCCATAATCTGTTGCACTGGTCCGTCTGTATTTATTATGCCAATTACATTAATATCGATGAAAAATTATGATAAGAAAAAATTAGCACATGAAAGATTTTTTCATTATACTTACGGCAACTCTAAAAACGTTGATAATACCATCGCAAGGATTAACTGTGTTGTACCAAGACCAATCGGGATAAGGTTTCAAAAGTGGTCCTGATTCTTTATTTGATTTTGAGGTAACGGTGTGTAAAGAAGCTGGAACACCTTTGGATCTTACCGTTGTAATAAATGTTCGTCCATCTATAATCACCAAATATCCTCTTAATAAGTACAGAAACTGAAACATTGTAGTAGTTAAAAAATTGTTTGCAAAATTTTCTGTTTCTTATCATGTTATTACAAACAATTTTTTTTAAACTATCGAAACACTGTTTACAACGATTACTTACCGTCTACTCGCTCCACATCTATAGGAATAATAGCACTTGGATCGTAAAGGCCATTCTCAATGTACCAATTTTTTTGAACTTGAGAATCCCAATCAAAATCTATGTATTTCCATTCATATTCTGTTTTCAACGGTGATTTGGCAGCATTCGTTACACTTAAAAAAGCTAAGGCCCATACGAGGATGCACATGTTTATCTTGGCTTATTATCGGCTAAGACAACTACTTTAAAACTCTTTTGACGCGTGGCTTATATATCATTTATGTTCCCAAAGTACACAAGCACTGTAATGAAATAATTAAAGAGATTCACATTCAGTGTAATTTAATTAAACATGATAAATAAGCGTTAAGTCATAACAGATTGCCCGACAAAAGAACAATACAAGATTGTTGATAAAAATGACTTTCAACGTAGTAGATCAAACATTTAAATTACCTCCGTTTCCCTTACAAAAAATTGATAACCATATTATTCAAATTTATTTAATCAATGATCAATCGACTATCTAGAATGAAGTTTCATTTATCAAATTTATTTAGGCTATTATATATATTACATCAATCATTGAAATTCGACTAGTCTTGGAATTAGAATTTCTCCTGCTAAAATCTTTTTGGTCTGACAAGGAGATTATCAAAATTTTTAGACACACATTTTTTACACGGGTAAAAAATTACGGACACACAGTAAATAATATTTTTGGAGTGGGGTGCCAATCACGTCACAAAGTGATAAAGTGTATGAGTTTTATGAATTTCTGACGTCAGTACCTGGCACTCCAGAACTATTGTGTATTAAAAATTTTTATTCATGTAGTTAAAAAAAACTTGTCTAACAATTCTTGATGATTTGATTAACGGACTAAATCAATTTTTTCGTAAGAAATACTAATTGGTTATATCCATAGGAAAGATGAAAACAAAATGTTCCGTAAACGTATTCTCACAAAACAGTGTAAAATTTAAAAATGTTTTATAATTTAATATTTATTAAGTGCATTCGTTATTTAACAAAAGTCAACAATTTTATCTTATAAAGTCTTTGTTGACATTATAAATTAATATTAGTTTTTTTTTTTTTTTTTGATGATTTAAAATTATTTTCCGGTTTCTTAAGTAACGAAAACAAACAATAAAAATTATAATTGCATTTATCGATTGACTTGTTAAACTGAATTCAATTGAACAGTATCATTATCATAAAAGATGTCTGGAAGACCATGTCGTACTCAATAGTTGTATAATGTATGATAAAATAATAATAAAAAAAATGTTTTTATTTTTTAATTTTTTATGAGTAAGACACTTATTGTAGGCGTACAGTACCAAAATCAAAATTTTTAATAGCATCATCTTAACTAAAGACTACGGGTTCTTAGGTACCAATTCCTTAAACTGGATAGGTACATCAACAATTTAATCATATTCGAAAATTTTCAAATTTTTTCGATATTTTGATACCTAAGTTAAAGAAGAAGAATGTATCATAAAAAATAAGTAATAAAATACCATTGTCTCAAAAACGTATTGTATAAATATACCATCTTAAATGATAATACTTACGTTCCTCCACCCAGGTACTTATCGGTTCAATCTACCTTGTTAGGAATTACAACAGCATGGTATAAAAAATATTATCAATATAACTAAAATGCATATTGTTATTACTTAGAAATGTTATATATTGTTATTTCTTAGTAATGATAAATTTTTTTGATTTACAAATTGTGCAAATAGGTGCAGAAAAAATATTGTATCACACGCTCTTCTCAAGCTGTTTATTTATAGAAGGTTTATAAGAAACAATGAGCAAGTAAAACAAACTTGGAGTTGTTTATCAAGTAATGCTTGTACGGTTCAAGTTTTCTACGGTTTCTACATTATGACTAATGAATTGCAATAAACAAATTTTGAGCTCTAACTCTGTCATAAAAATTATTGTAACGTTTTGGTTGTTAACGAGAATTAAAAATATACTAGTAAAGAGTTAAAAATTAAAAAAAAATCTCATCATAACATAATGAAAGACTTATTACGGAATTAAGTAAGTAAACTCAATAGCTAATGGATAATTTTCGGAAAACGAATACATTAATAGTATCGATAAACTAATTGATGAGCGATACACAACAAGGACAATACTTTTTACATTTTTACACAATATTTCTTTCGAAGTATCAATGTATCTAATAAAAGTCTCGTAATTCAATCGGCTTTATCACTTCAAGCTTGAGCGAACAAGATGTGGAATCGGTACGTTTGAGTCGTGCCCTGAAAAATTAACAACTGCAAACATAATCCAGGCGTACCATGCTCATTACGTAAAAGTGGAATAACCACTCACGCTTTTGAAATGCGTGATTATTTTTTGAGATGTGACTGGGTTCCGGTGCAACTATAAAATGCAAAAGTCCTGGAAAGATGCTGTATCTCGTGATGATTTGAAAATCATTCAAAAATTTTTAAAAAAACGTAAAAAAAGCCCATCAATTGGCCAATATCTTCATTTTTTCATAAAACTTGCTCATCGTACCCACATTTGCAATGTAAACTCGCAACTCACTCAAAATAAAGCCAGAGACACGAGTACCGATCGTGCAAATGCCACGCGGAGCGTAAAAGACCCTCTCGACCGCGACCTTTTGGCATGTACGTATAGGTGCACACACACACACACACAGTCAGGTCGCTGCAAGTGGCAGGCGTAGCCGTACAACGGGCCTTAATCGACGCCGGGCGTAAGTGCAAAGCGCTGTACTTAGCACCGGGGCTTGGGTTGAGGCGAGAGGTCATACCTGCGTGCCTCTGTCCTCTTTCTACACCCACACCGGAGTGATCGGCGTCGATGACCTCTCTCTCCCTTTTTTTTTCCCCTCATTGAAATCTTTCCGCTTGGTCTACCTCAATTTGCATCGATTCTGCCTCGCCTTCCTCGCTGATGTACTGTATGGGCACACCCGATGCTTCCTCGTGTCTGACTATGCGTATGCTCACGTGTAGAAGGTTTAGAGCGGAGTCAAGGGGCACCTTCCGAGGGGATATAATACATTATGTGTTTTGTCGTCGGCGATTGGTCAGTTGTTCAGGCATATGCTTGTATACTCGGTGTTAAGGGTGAACATTAATTTAATCGAGTGTATGAATGCAGTGCTACAATTTTGGAGAAAAAATAGTCGAAAGATTCGGGTATTTTGACGATCATCATAAAAGTGCTTACAAGTGTATACACGAGCAATGAAGTATGGAAAAAGATCAACAGTGCAACAACATTTATTCCCACAGGCGATTAATTTACAAGAAATGGCAGATAGCTACAGTTGTTGTCTAACAAAATTGATAATTCACAGATTGTAGTGGAAAAAAAATGATATCTCAACTTTACCTTACTGTTGAAGGTTGCAATAGTACTAATGTGATCAACAAAATCGAATATCAATCAATACTAGACCGATTTACATCGAATACCACTGTTCTTTCATTGTATCTCTGTAGTTAGCAATCCCATGGCAAAGTTAAATCCATACCCACATGCAGGGATCCGGAATATCATTGATAGAAACATTTCTTGAACAAATTCTTCTTGTAAACTCCCAGTTTGGGGGCAATTGCTGAAACAGAGAAGAAATAAAACGAAGGACGCACTCAAAAAGTTAAATATTCCAACTGCCACCTACGTGCAATCTCAGAGCTTCTCCCTTCGATTTTCCATTCGTTCCCTTGTATACTCTGCAAAGCCATGAAATCCATACCCCAGCTCCCTTCCATATACAGATACAGCCCCACAGACCCGGGTCTCGTTAAAAAGCTCCCGGAATTGCGTTAGCAAGCGCCCACCTTGAAGAAACCGTGGCCGAGAACACGTAAGCAGCCCTGGGAAGGGCTGGGGGGGTGTAAGGCGTATAATTAAATTCGTTCATTTGGCCGCGAATCGTCGCTTCTCCTCGGACTAATTAATAAAAGTAATCGAATGAAAATGGTGGGGGGTGGAGGTGGGGGCCCGCGCAGTTCCTATCCGCGTACACCCTTGGCACGAGGAACGAAGGGTGGCTGGGTATACATGTATATGCGTGGTAGCGGCAGGTGAACAGCTGCTCTGAGTGGATTAAACTGAGGTAATCAACGCAAATTGATAATCCTACTTTACCAGCGTGCACGCGCGCGCGGCCCAGCACCAATGACCTTTCTTTTCCTCCATCCCTGCCGTTCTCCCTCTGTTTTCCTCTGGGCACCATACGCGTAGCTTTTAAGTAGCCTCGGCTTCTTCCCTGTTGTCGATTCTTTCCTTCCGTTTGAGCTTGCGAAATTCCGCTGCGGGAAACGCGAGGTGTATGCGATTATACGCAAAACTTTGAGGAAATGTCCACCCTCCCCCCCCCCAACCCCTCATCTCCTCTTTTTTCTTTTACTTCCGGATTGTTACTTACGTTTTTTTTTTTACGACGATGCTTTTAGCGTTTTATGGTTTGATGTAAGGGAGAAACAACTGTGACTACATGAGTTGGGGTAAAGAAGTAGGGAATGTGTTACGTGGTATCGATTTTCTTTTCAAGGAAAAAGAGGAGGTACGATTGGGAGCTGTTATTTCGTACATTTTTCCGAAAACCTTTATGATGAGGATTGATCTAAAGTATAACTCAAGTTGTGCTGTTAATCTGACTTTTCCAAATTCTTTGTTGTTACGTACTGATGTTAATAGGAAGAATTTTCATCGTTTATCATTGCGAGAGTGCATGGGGAGGCCCGACAAATTGTTGATTTTCCCTTAATCTTGTCTTTGTTTTTCGAGACAAGATCCAAACGAAATTCTAAGGAAACATTTTGCAAGCTAAGGTAAGACGTACCAGACCGAGAAACAAGACTTTGCCAAAATCTTGCACTTGAAAAATTTGTGAGATGTCAAAAAAAAGTCAGCTATTAAACGATAATTTTTATCAGTTTCACAGTTCCAAAATAATTGAAATAACAAAAACTTGCAAAGATTAAAAAAATTATCAGACATGAAGATCTCTCTTGTTTAAAAAATACAGATGTGTAAAGTACAGTATCATCAGTACTCAACAAATATTATAAATAAATTGATATAGTCGTAGTAATGGTTTTTTCACCAATTTAACATGTCAATTGTACAAATGTCGATAAATCTTCAAAATTAAGTCAAACATTAAAGCTTGCTCAATTTATTCTTTTG